AGAAAAAACTTTATATGGGTGTTTTTTAACATTGAAAACATTATACAGTTATTACCTCACATAAACCTTTAATGCTTTTTCCTAGTATCAATAGCTGTCATCATGAAAATAGCTGTCAGCTAGAAAAAAAGACTAAGTGCACTTTCCAGTTTCATAGCCCTTCCTTATTTTCATATTATTTTCTGAGTCACTGGAAGATACTTAACTTCCTGAGTCAAAACAAGCCTGGGGATGCATTGCTGCATGCCTATTACTCTTCATAAAACTTTTCACAATACATTTCCAAAAGACATTGGCACACACTATTGAGCTGGTTACATTATAAAGTGTTCAAAAGAAGAAAAACCTTACAGGCTTCATTGCTTGCGAATGCACCAATAAAGTCACAATCTCTGTTCCTGATTAATTTGCCAGTGGCAAGTATAAATACATATCTACCGCCCATATCTATCAACACATAGTCCTGTTTTCCAAAATTGTGTTAGCAATTAAAATTCAAAAAATGGCTTCTTAACTGATTTCTGGTGTGCACACTTCTCCAAGTATGTGGGAAAGATTTTTTTTCTGTGGTCTGTATTACAGATGTGCTGATTCACCACCCCAGAGTTTCTCTAGTAAAACACCACACGTTTCGATGCAGATGAAGGCAAGACAGACCGCCAGGCAGGCACACGGAGAACACGAGGAGGCCTTACTGGTTCTCCAAGTCATGTTTCAAAACAACTCTGCCATAACAGCAGTGCTGTATTGAGATATTGCAACTGTTTTCCTATTTCAATCACTTTCTGCTCAGAGAGAGACATGGACCTTCCGTCTTCCCTCTTGAAATGTCTGTAATGATGCATAAAATGTCAAGAATCACTGAACAAAGTGATTTCACTCTAAACAGAAAGGAGACATTTCATGCAGAATTCTACCACAACTGTGCAGCTCTGAGAGATTTGTTCCCCTCCTGGTCCTGAGTTAATAATATAACACTTTACCACACTAAAAATTATTACTAATTTTGTTCTAATTGTGCAAATAGTTTCATGTTTCAATGGAAAGCTCTTCAGTGGTATTTTTAAGTCTTGATTTCATTTCCATGGCTTTCGGCCACCCTGCCTTCCTGTGAAGAGAATCTATCCTGTTGGGTGTCAGGGTTTAACAAGAACATAAAAATGTGTCATCTCGGCATATAATGCACCGTCACCATAGAGTATAAATTAATTCTGACGCTAGTAAACTTAACAGCAACTTTTCTATTTACTATAGCTGAATCAGGATTTATTTCTAGCTGCTTTGCCCTTTTGTGCATTACTCTTATCTTGATGCAAATTCAACGAGGAAGACTGACTAGATTAAGAACCTTCATATTGAGTCTACAAGTCATAATGAATTCAAGAAAGAAATTAAATTTTAATCCTAGTAGAAAGCGTTATCTTATTAGGAAACTTTCATGAGTGTGTTAAGATTAAAACACACACTGCTTCTAGCATTTTCAGTAAATATTTTGTATGTGGATTATTTTGAAACTCCATATACTCTTATTTATGTCTGGAAACTTTAGATAGAAATTCCACCACTACCACCCTCTTTTTTTCTGTTATTTAGTTATACAACTCTAACTTCCCCTACATCCACTTTTTTTTTTCCCAATATGCAAACATATTCTCCCAATTTAAATCTAACCACGTAATATGTTTTCTCGGCAGTATTCCCTGAGGCCTTGCCTGCTGCACCGCTACTCAATAGGTGATGTGAACATGAAGTTACTGATTTCTACATGCACTTTTACAGTGCACATCACTGCAGCAGCTACATGCAACACAAACCCAAAAATGTGTATGGATATCCATATTCATGAAGAAGTGGGGCTGTATCACCATGTACATCTTAGGACTGAGACCAGTATCAAACAATCACTGCACTAGTTTGAGTCACTGGGCGCTGTACTTAGTTCAAGGCTGTTAAGGTCTGATTTATTTATTTTTTAAGAGTGTTAATACTATGTAGCACTACATTTTAGTGTAGGTGCCTGGCTTTAGTCATCCTCTTACACTAAAATGTAGGTGCTACGTAGTGCTTTGCTTTTCCCAGAGCTCAGTATCTGAAGTCAGGCAGCAGATAATGAAGAATCCAAGTTTCATAGCTGCACTAGGAAGAGATCAGAGACCCAGGCAGGGCCCTAAGGAATGTGGGGCAGCACCAGGAGCGGGCTCCTGCTTCCCAGGGCTGCCCCACATGCCCCTTTTGCCCCAGAGAGCTACTGTCTACAGGGGCAGTGCAGACCATGGTAGAAGCAAGCAAGCAATATTCTCATTTCACAGGAGTTAAAACAAAACCCCGGGCAAATATGGAAAGTTTTTCAACAGCACGTGCTATACATCATTATCTAAGGTCACTTGGGAAATCTATGTCAAACCTCGGTACAGAAGACAAAGATCAAAATGGCCTGGAAAACAGGATGTCGCCACATGATTGCTTTGAAGAATCAGATGCTGTCACTTCCTAGGTGCATATAAATGCTGAGCTGTTGTTGGCTCTTATATTCTCTAAAATACAACATGGAGAGGAAACACACAGCGAGCACTTCTTGTAGATGGTTGATTTGCACCAAAAGAATATAGAGCATTTACACTGAGACATAGGGCCTGTGATCTCCAGCTGGTAGATGACAATACTAATATCTTTGGCTCTTCCAATCAGATCTGGAAAGAAATTTCCGACTCGGAGTACCTGACTGACAAGATTTTCTTGTGATTCTTCCTCTCTTGAAGACAGAAAGCTTGTACTAACACAACATTCAAATCTAGAGTGATTATCAAAATGATGAATGGCAATCAGGAGTGCAGCAGACGTTGCTAAGAAAGGCGAGGGGTATCATTCAGTAAACGAGATGTTTCTTTAGGAGAGGAAAAGGAAGGAAAGGAGCCAATGCCATGTCTGGCATCAGTGCTTACTTCCTTGGATTGCCCTAGGTTAAATGCCCAAAGCCAACATGAAACTGTTTCCCAGAAAACAGTCTCAGACCAGTACGTTTTTTCAGCACTATTTGCACTGGTGTTTATTTCGGGTAAGCTGTTGAGAGTCCCAAGGGTTTACCTCTGACAGAAAGGATGGGACAAACACACATGAGTGACCAGCAGCTTAACTCAGCTGTGGCGAGGGTGCCAAAGGAGGTAACTCTGCCAAGGGAAATGACTTCCAGGCTGTGCACTTGTGTGTCAAAATGCCACTAGTGTATTTTGACATAAGTGCTGCTTTTTATCAGGGATAAGCTTCAAAGCCATGGAGATGGAGAGATGAGAAACCAGAACTTGACAGAAAAAGTAGAAATTGACAGAAAAACATGAGGCGAATCTGTTAAAACAAACTCAATTCACTGAGAGCCAACAATACCTTCAAGGATCCAATTTAGAGCAAAGGACATTGTATTGCTGTGTGACACTAAATACATCTAGTCTAGGGAATGCAGTGAAATTTGGAAGCTCTGACTCCTGCGTGGAGATTTGGAGCTGCCTGACCCCTGCTAGCTGATACAAGAATCTTAAACCAGAAGCTGCAAACATGACACATAGAGTGTGGAGTTAATTCAAAAGGAGGCACATGTTCTGTTCATCTGTTTTGAAGCAAATTCTGAATAATCCCCCATTAAGAGCTTTATATAAACTTTATGGGGAAGGGAAATGTACCTCACTGAAGGCTACCTGTGAGACTGAGGCAAAGCTGGGCCTCCCCAGGCCTTCCCTACAGAGGTACCTGCAGCTCAATTCAGCCTCGGCCAGCAGAATTACTTGCGTTTATCGGGGTGGTTGCACTTGCCAGCCATTTTAAGACTTCTCCCCCCAAAAATCCTTCACCCTGTGAAAACAGAGAGTACCTGGGAAGATGGTTTTGTCACTTGGAAACACCAAAAGATAAACATAAAGTGTTGCTTGCTGGAGCCATCCCAGGCATTTCCTAGCTCTTCATTCAGTGACAGAACTTCCACTTAATGCCAAGGACAGAAGCTCTGCTCAATGGGGCTAAAGGTTTCTAACTTTGCAACAACAAAACTTCCTGCAGGAGAGACTGTTATGTCCAACAAGGTAGGTCATTTCCCTCCTGTGCATTTTCCTCCTCTTATCTCCAGCAACTCTAAAAGCACATAGCATTCACAGAAGCTAAAGCTAAAACAACAACCTACATCTGGTCAATCGGGTCATCTCTGATCTTTCGGTCAGTCCCCTCTGACAACCAACAGACAGTAAAAAGGCTCAAGGATGCCAATAAGTTGAATTTGCCTATACCTCTCACATGCTTGAAGCTTACAGAAGACAGAATGATGACTTTCAGCTTCTTCGACAAATTTCAACACTCAAAAAAGAAGGCTGCTGCCAATTATAGGTGACATGGCACAGCTGACAGCTGCAGATTACCATGAGTGATGTCTGCTCTTCCCTGCTAACATCCAGGAGCTTCAGCAGGGCGCACAAGAAGATCAAAGACTTCTGTCTAAGTCCCCTACCTCAAAATATTTACTTGCTGTCATTTGAAGAGATAGAGAGAAGTCATGGCCCCAGCATCTGACAAGTCACTTGTGACACTTACTAATGTGTCCCATTTGCCATTAATGTCACCAGTGATATAAATAGGGTATCATAATGCCTGCCTAAGAGTAGTTTCCACACAGAGGTAGCTGGATCAAATTCAACATGAGTAAGGCAAAAAAATAGAGCTAGATAGGAGGAATCACTAGGAAAATGGTCTAGTGATAGGTACGCACACAGCACAAGCTCTGCAGATGAACAGGCTCAAAGTTGCTGGGGTTTTTGTTTGTTTTTCTTTTTTCTTGATTCGGAGAGGGCCTCCAAACTTTAGAACCAAAATATCTGCTTCCTTTTGCTTCCCAGGTTGTTGTTGTTATTGGTTAATGCAAAAAGGTCCATCAAGGTTAAGTCATTTCAGCCACGTAGGACCAGAAAAATACTTCACTATCTTCACTATTTTATTAAGCTATACACATACGTAACTGTATAACTCTAATTATATGATTACAATTATATCTTTACTAAAATACGGCAGACAGAATAGAGCAAATAGTTCAACTCCACAGCAGTTTAGGACGAGAGCGTGAGACAGAAAACATTACAAATACCCAGCCATATGGCACGTGTGAGATCTTTCAGAGAGCTGCTTTTAAAGCCCTCTTTAAGCTTCTTCCAGGAGCACAGAGTGATAGCACAAGCTAAGGGACAAGTCTGCAGCAGTGTTTCTAACAGTCCCGTGTGTGAGGCTGCAGAGATTTCATTCTGGCATTTAAAAGGTTTGCACCTTTAGCGCTGACAAACACTCTCTCATCCCCATTGAAGCCCGTAAGGGAATCAATAGGAGTCAGACTTACTACTCCAAGTGAAAAAAAAGACAGTACCTCAAGCTGCTCAGGGCACTGATGCCTGCTGGTGGTTGTTTATAAGATACCATAAACTGAATTCACTTTTAATACAGTTCTACTGACCTTCCTGAAATGGTCAGGGGGAAATTGCACATTTTGGATTCCATCCAGAATTATTACTGATTCCTAATGGAGATTCTACTCTGCTCTTCCCTAGTCCCAAGGAAAGCCATGGTATTTCAGGATGCTTACTTGAAGGCATGTTGTGTTCATTCGCATATTGTATTGCTGATTTTTTTTAAGAGCCCACAGAACAGAGGTCAACCTGTCTGTTGCTCCCAATCCATTCTGCAGAGCTTTGATTCCTGGCCTCCTGCCAAAGTGTGGTATTGTTCAGGTCCTTTGTCTTGCCATTAAAGTTCTCACTGCTATGGTTATGTCTGCTGGGTCAATGAGATTAGATTTCATTAGCACAGCAAACTGAAAAAAAAAATAGAAGTTATTAGATAATCATTAAAGCACATCTGTTGCCTTTTTCAGGGTGCCAAAGTCTGAATTCCATTGAACTAGTGACATGGCACTTGACCAGCGCTTAGTTCAGCTATGGTCAGTGAACTGCAAAAGGATTAAATTATTAGCAGCTAGTTGATTCAACCTAATCCCTGGCAGTTTTGTTTAGATTGTGAGAGAAATGGTGCCCAGAGCAAAAGAGAGTGAAACAATTGCAGAAATGTTAAAAATTTTTGAGCTCATTCCACAAACTGTGCTGTACTGGTGCTCCACTTCAGCACTACCCCAAGACACCGCTTCCTCATGTATTCAGCATACACTTTTGTGTATATCCACCCTGGATATCTTCAAAAGTCCTGACAACTTCTGGGAGTGAAAGCCTGGCTCCAGAGAGTGGAAGCAGATATTTCCCCCTCATCCACACTTCCAGCACGGACTGTGATCCCAGCTATGAAGGAATATTGGATCTCAGGTGCCACTTTCTCAATTCCTTTCAAAATCTCTTATGAAACACCCTGCCACAAATGTCTTAGAATTTTCATGTGTCATTTAGTGTATCTTTTTAAAGAAAAATTGTAATTGAAGAATATATATTTGCAAATAACATTTTTTACAGACCAAATCTAGCTTTTCCAAAGGACTTTTATAGAAAGCGCTCGGTCCCCATTACCAATCTGTGGTGATTTAAACCTAAACTCTTACAAAAATCTCAGGTTCATTATATAAATTCTGTACATGACTTATGAAGCAGCGGCCTAATTCTAAAGAATTATCTGTGAATTTAGAGAGGAAAAGGAACAGCTCCTGTGCATTAAAAAAAAAAAAAAAGAAAAGAAAAAAAGCACAGATTAGGTCAGATCGAGATTTAGAGGAGTTTACTTCCCTTAAGTAACAGGCTGTTTTGGGTATTAGGAGGATAGGGCTCTTGATTTGCTCAAGGACTCCAGCTAGACAGGCTGATGGAAGGAGGACAAGGAAAGTCCATGGTAGTTTTCTGCCATCCCCAATGGCAGTACACCACCAGAAACATAGCAAATAAGCAATGTAGACATTCACTGGCTCAACTCACAACTCCAATCCATAATCCACTAAAGATGGCATTTTGTTGAGCTAAGCATATGTGTAAGAGGAAGCTGGAAGTCTTGTTGGAATAACATTTTTCTTCTCACTTCTGCATTTACCAGATAAATGCTGCTTTTCTTTAGAAGGCTTGTCCTAAACTGAAGATTTTCTTTTCTTTTGAGTTAGGTAGGCATGTGCAGAATAAGATGGATTTTGGCTTTCCTCCTTTTAAGCTAGTATTCCTGGTAAGCATGTTTTTGCCCCAAGCAAAGCTTGCAAAGCCAAACCAGATGCACCTTCTTTGAAAATTTCACTACCTACTTAAATCATTACTGTCTAGCATTTGGAAACTTTTTGCTAGATATTAATTCTTGCATTTCAGGAAAAATAGAAAAAGGGACAATTCTATTGCACTGGGTTTGATTTTACAAAATGTTAAAACACATACTGTGGGGAGAAAGGAGTTAAAAGGCATGTCAAGTTAAGCTAAAATTGTGGCAGGCTATTACACAGCAATTTTTTGCTTTTAATTGTCATAGTCCTGCAGAATGGGACAATTTTCAACAGTTTTAATATACTACCTTGTACATATTGTTAACCCTGCACTCATTAATCCCAATAAATAGCTACTCCTGGAACGCTCCCTGTCACATATTACTCACCTGGGATATCAGTAATAAACAAGATAACTATCATAAACCATCAAGTCTGTAACTGGTGGTGAAAGGCAAAAAGGAGATAAACCCTACAATTAAAAGTTTATAATTGATGAATAGCTATTGAATCAATGATTTTGTTTTTAGTAAATTTAATTTCTTTCTATTACGGACTTATCTGCTAGAATTCCTCTTTAAATGAGTAGGAGGTTAGCGATGAGACTTTGGGCATGGCTAAGCAAGCACAGAGATGGGTAGCTTGTGTTCCAGCTAAAGCAATTAAAGCACAACAACTGTGTAACTCTGAACTCCTTATCTACATAAAAGGTCATCTTTTTGTTTACTTTTCTTATTAGTAACTTCTGCCTTGCTTCCCATCTTGCAACATGCAGGGACTAGAGGCATATGGTTAGGTATGCATTGTATATCCTGCAAATTTCTATAATAGCACATATGCAGCAACAGTGTCTGAAAGCACAAGAACTTGTGCTACACACTTCAGGTGTTTTTGTGTTCTTTGAGCTTATGCTCAAAAAAATAGCCAGTGTTTAAATCTGACTGGTGTGCTGTTTTCACTGTAATTAACTGATGCACTTAAAGAACAGGCCTTGCTCCTCTTGTGCTTTGTAAGTTAACATGCCTTTTTAAAGGCTACTGAAATACACCTAAGCAGTAGCAGCTACAAAAGGCCTTCGTTCAGAAGAGAACTGAAAACTCACAAGGAGTGAAGCTGTGTCTCCTGATACCAGAGGATGACTTGGGAACTCCTCTGGAGGGGAGAGGTTTGGGTCCTGATGTACGCTCCAACATGGCCAGTGCATTTTACACAACATCTGGTTAATGTAAAATACACAAATAAAGGAAGAAACGGGATTGAAGTATCCTCTTATCTGTCTACTTACCGAAGTAAGCCACTTACCAAATGTTCTTCCCCCGGCCTAGCAATTCTGTTTTGGTTTTGATTGTTGTTTGTTTGTTTTTCTTCAGTACTGAACAGTGCTGGGGGGGAAAAGAAGGAGCACATAAAGTACAGAGGTTAGGGCACCCCTCAGAGGGAGCAGGAATTTGAAGCCAGGTCTTCCATTCACTTAGCCATTGCTCTAACACATAATTTCTGCATGGAAAAGGCACCGATGTTACCATAAGAATGGTTCTCCCACAGCCGTTGCTACTGATCCTCAGCCTCTTTGCACTTCTTTGACACAGCAGTGAAATGCAAATATTCTGCTTCTGCAAGGCAGCCAACGACCTGGCGAATGGCTGTTACATCTATAAAATGGGATTGGGGCCAAAGTGTGATGTGATCTGGCAACTGTAGCCATCGGGACAGAGCCCCATGGAGTATTACCTTCCCAAAGCAGGTTAGAGCAGCCTGAAGTTCTTTTTCACTTGCAAAGGAAACCCTCTGTGCCCTTTCTCTTATCTCACCTGCCTTCCTATATCTTAAGAAGGCAAAAAATCCAGTTGCAATCAGCAACATGGTAATTTATTTGCAGAAAGTAGCATTTCTTAGAAAAGAAATTATCAGATCAAAGTCTTAGGTTTAAATTATCCTGACTTTGAATATTTCACTCAAATTCATTTCTAGGAATAAAAATCAGGCTAAATAGTCCAGGTGACAAATATTCTTTTCATGGCCTGTATAGGAATTTGTGCAGATCCTCAGTCCTGCAAGGAGAGCAAATCACAGACTAGGGATTTGTTTCCCTGTGTCTAAATTTATTACTAATTTAGCACATTGGGCCTATGCAAGTGCATCCTGAATGTTAGACAACCCATTCTATGCTTTAAAACTCAACCAATCAATCCTCTTTCTTCTCCCCTCACCCTCTGAACACCTTGCAACACTCAGGTCACTTCAGTTTTCTTGAGAAACTTCCAATCTTTTGTGACTCATAACACCATCTACTGGACAGTTATGACCTAAAAGTGACTAAAATGCTTTTTTTTTTAATCTCTGCTTTTACTTACGTGTGTTGATAATATTCACGTACCTGCTGTAGTCGCAGTCTAGCGTCAGTTCCTCCCGTGACGGCACGGTCAGTAATTCCTTAGCGTCAGGGCTGTCAAGGTCTGGAATAAATTCCTCTGTTGTGTTTTAAGGCCTGGGGTATATTTTCAAAGCAGAGATCAGAAATAATAAAATAATGATTCATTTCTGGTATTTTAGAATAGAAGCAGCACGATGCTCTATCAGCTAAACTCCATGCCTCAGCGTATGACTTTATTCCCCTCAGTGAACAGGAAATCATCTCCTTACCTCAGCTAGTGAGGAAGTACTTAAACTAAAAACTAAAACTAAGTATGGCTTAGTTTTCCTGGTTAGGCACCTGGGAAATACCATTCTATTTCTCAAAGAGAAAAGGTAATTGTATTGAATTAGAATAAGCAAAAATAGTTAGCCTGATAGGTTCTTTTATATGTATATGTAATTTTAAGGCTGAATCTTACAAGACACATTCAACATACATTAGAGAGCCTAGGGTAAGGACAGCTTAGGTATGAATCATTTTGGCTGGAAATATTTGTCAACATTGTACCATTAAGAATCAGGGCCCACTTTTAAAAGCGCACAAGCACCTTTTTATGCAATAGATTATTGCATCAATTATTGCATCCTTCAAATAGCACAGTGCTGCCTTTCCCAGAAAACCAGCCAATTTGTTCTTTACCCTTCACACAGTCTTCCTTGTGTTTGGGAAACCCCTGGTAAACAAAGACCTGCAGCTAGCAGGTTCTGTCATAGTCCAGCATATTCCTCAGCTCCTCTTCTGCACTGCATGTCTTATCCACTCTGCAGTCCCCTGCCAGCTCACGAGGACTGCTCTGAGTATTGCCAGGAGTAGGGCCACAGTGCTTCCTATAGCCAAGAGCTCCACTTGGGCCCATCTGGCAGGACAGTGTGAAGAAACCAACATCAGGGACTCCCTTGATCATGACTGTGCTAATCTGAGCACTCTTGCCACTTTAGGTGCTAGGAAACTTCAACACACATTGCCAGAATCTGATAATTCAAGACCTTATTCTTTATATAGACAGCATGATTGCCTGGGAAGCTTGATAGCGCCCGTCGCAGATCTGGTCTCAAAGTGGTAGGGTTCAATGTGCTACTGTGCTGCGTCATCACAGCCTGATGCTTTCCATGGGCTACGTTAAAGTATCAAAGAATGATGCTCCACAAAAGCCTATTCTAGGATAACACATAAGCATCTTAATTCCTGAGTGACTTTGCTCATTTTTCCATAGACTCTAATAATAATAATAAAAGTATATCTGACAGAGATACAACTTTGCCTTTCTGTATATAACAAAAACAAGAACAACAACAACAACAAAAAAAAGATGTTTTGATCTTTGTTTTCCAAGTGATTTTGCAGACTTCACTTATAAGGTGCCTGAATCTGAGACACCTTGAAGATAATTTTCACAGATGAACATAGGAACTGCCAGACTCTTCAACAGTAATGGGAGAGGAAGATTAATCCATTAAAAACAGACTGCCCTAGAAACATGCCATTAAAACATGTACTGTTTTAAAAATTAAAGGTTTACTTCAGTCATGCTATATATGATGCTACATTCAAGAAATGAGCCTGAATGGCAAGAAGGTTACTCTAGGTTGCCCAGGAGTTACCTGTGTTTTATTCTTTCCTCTTGGCAGTGCTCAGAATGTTGTAGCCCTTACATTTATGGCAAATAGTTATGTTTACTGCTTAAGATGATTAACACACCTTATCTAAAGATGTGAAATCCCTTAGGTCTAAGACCCTTGACTAAGAGCCAAAAGCTAAAAATAACCATCAGTACATTAACCTAAAGGCTGATTTTGACAATTTCAAAGAAAAATTATCCAATACCCTTGAAAACACTCTCCAAAAATCATCCTGGTCCTTACCATTTTCTAGGTTTTGAGAGCAGATGGATCTCAAAAAATCTGAGAGTTTTTCCTTCTGGGTATTTGAAACCAAATTCTAGTAACAGCATCTGTACAACTTCTTATCTCCACAGCAATAAAATGGAACAAATTAATGGAGTAACTTCTGAGTATTTATTACTCATTTGGAGATACTGTACCAGACAGTCCATGGCTCCTAATATAATTATCAGACTTTTATTATATTATTGCTACCAACTGCCGTGGTAAACAGGGCACATGACTTAGAAAAAAAAGACTTGGGGCAAGACAGAAAATGCTGGGTAGTGCTAGAAGGGCACGTGCCCTAGGTTGAAGCCTTGTTCCACTTAGGTCAAAGACAAAAAATCCTGCTGATTACAGGAGTCTTAGTCAGGCCTTCAAAGCACTTTTGCCACAGCCGCTGCACCTGATAAATGCCTGGTTTTGGCAATATCAGTGTTGCTATCAGGCATGGGAGCCAGGCACAGACAGCACCTTGCTGCGCACCTCTCAGCCCCACTCCGGGCAGCACCCTTGGGTGCTCAGCCACCGTGACATGGACACCAGCCCCTGGTGAGAGCCCCTGGGGAAGCACACGGGGCAAACACCATCATGTCCATCTGACTTGGACCGTGCTGCTGTTACTCATCATATTGCCAAAACTGGACTTTTTAGGGGGTAATTCTGTTTGACAGCAGCTCTTACAGGCTCCTGAGGCCAAGCAGAGAAGGGGAGCAGGTACTGCCTGAGCTCCAGGAGAGCTTCATCCCAAGCTCTGCAGCTCAGAGGACCTTGCAAGGCTCCCCTCCTCTCTCCTAGCCGCCCCGTTTGCCACAAGATGGCACTGTTTTGTATTTATTTCCACACGACACAGTCCTCCAGCCTTGCATCACACTCCCTAAAGAGAGAACAAGCAGTTTTCATCAGTATTTAGCACGCATTTATTTCATATACCTGTTTGCTTTAACCACGTGCTCTTTTTGTATCAGAACTGAGAAACACGGGGCTGTGCCTTGCAGTGTCTATTCGCCACAGACCGTATTTTCCTCTTGGACTGCAAGTGGTTTCACAGCCTAATACCTCACTTTGGTTTCGGGGACTCAGACCAGCTCCAGTTTCCTTGGGGTCCTCTGATCCAAAACCTGCTTCAGGTGCAAGACTTACCCAGACATGCTAATAACATTCAGAAACTTTGGTGAAGATTTAAGGGAGTAAGATCAGAGTTTAAATTTCACAGAGAAAGCAGATAAGTGACAAAATGTTCTAGACAGCATTTCACACAGTTCTATTAATAATGCCCTGTCAGCTATAGAACTGAATATAGCTTATATACATCTCTATGAATGAAGTGGCTAAGGAGGCACTGTTAAAGATCCCCATAAAAGGCTTGCAGCATCTGCAGACACAGAAAGATTCATACATATCCATATTTATGGAAATGAAAGGCTTTCCAGAAGCTCAAGTAAAATGTGATGAAATGATTTTTTTTTCCCTTAGAATGCATTCAATAATTTCACCAGTTACTCCATTTATTAATGGATTTATTGAGGTACTGGTCTGCATAGGACGCTGTTACAAGCAAAGGTGTTACCCCAGGAGTTAATTTGTAACTTCTACAGAAATTAAAAAGTATATTGAACTGAATTAGTCATTAGTCCAATCTGAAATAGTGACTTGCTGTAAGGCAGTGAAGACCCTTCTTTCTCCAGTATCCCCAGGAATATCCAGTGTTTGCCTTCTCCCTTGTGAAAGAACATCTGTTGCAAGGGGTATGAGCTGCTCGTGGGTCTGACCCACCTCCAGTTACTCTTTCAATAACCCGCGTGAGCAGACACCGTAAGTAGGACACGCTTGGGGCTCCCTCCCGCATAATGGAGAGGCAGCAGCAACCTTGCATCTGCTCTTGTGTTAGTCTGTCACTCACAATCAGGGGTTACTTGATGCCTAAAATAATTCCTCCCCTGACAACTAATTCATCTGGGAAGAAAAAAGACTCCATCCAGATGGTGGGAATCTCACAGGCTTTTTTTTTTTTTTTTCCCTCCCCTTTTTTTTTAAGTGGCAAAGCCTCTACTTTAATAGGCACTCTACAAGTTAT